ATCAGAGAACCTTTAACCGAAAAGAATTCATATTTGATTCGTAATTCTTGGAACGTGCATGAAGCCGTAGTTGCAGTACAGAGCCGTAGTTGGTGAAATCGAAATTGCTATGTTGCATTCATTCTGTATCGTTATAACGGAATTGTGGCCTTCATTGGTAGAACTGCGTAGAAAGTTTTTGGAAGCTGTATGCACGTTGAAAGGCGAATCGAAAAACAGTGGTGCGTGTGAATAGCGAGAATTGAATTCACATTTTATAGCCTGATGGTCACACTGATCCTCAATGTATATCCACATTATTTAATCAAGAATGGTGAAATAGTAGTAAAGCCTCACTCCTTTTCACACGAGAGTATCTGTCCACCGGCCCGTAAATTACCGTGTCTGGCGTCAATGAATATCCAATTCTAGGAGAAGTTATGATGATGAAGAAAGCCGTCTTCTTGGATGTGACGCCATGTAGATATTGTGTTAAAAGACGTTTCGGAGGAACGTATCTCCTCCATCTTCAGGGTAGAAGAGAAAAGAAAATCCGCGAGCGAGGAACCAACGTGAGTAGATGCTGACAGGCGGCGGTTCCTCGACAGTCTGTCACACCTGCTCACGCTGGTTTCTCGCTCGCGGATTTTATTTTTCCTACCCTGAAGATGGAGGCAATACGTTCCTCCGAAACGTCTTTTAACACAATATCTACACGGCGCCACATCCCAGAAAGCGGCTTTCTTCGTAGTCACCGCCGTGAAAACCTGAAATATTACGAGTTATTATTAAGTTATGTTAACGTTTACGTTATGTAAGTTGAGTAGGCTACAAGTAATACACGTATGTGTATATTAACAAACTATCAATCTGTTATGAAAGGCGTTGGAGGCTGAGTCCTCAGTTGGTCTACACTCGTCCTTGAAAATGGCGCGGATCATATTTTTTTAATAAATTAAGTAATACAAATACATTATCAGAAATTTACGTTCACAGTAGTATTGAAGGTCGCGTCAACAGGAAGGGAGAAGAAGATGTCTAGGAAGACACATTCTTTAGGAATCTTTCTATTATAGATATTATGACATGTGGACCGTTTCTAGGAAACGAATAGGCAAATAACGTTGCCACGGAGAGACTGATTCTTGGAAACCAACTGGTTACGGAACACGGTAAACTGAGAATTGTAAACACTTAGAAACAGACCGTTACTTCGGAATTAACACACGGTTTCCATGGCAACGCATTCATGAAGAGTGGCAAGGGAACTCTTAGAGGCGATGGTCTCTGTTCAGTTCTCTCGCAGTTCGTTCGTGCATTCAATTCACGAGAGCCCCGTCTGGAGGCGGGGTCGAATACCTCCACCATGACCCTGCAAATCGTAGAAGGAGACGAAAAGGAAGTTTCGAATCTGAGACAGTAAAATATGGTCAAGAGTCCCACGGGACTCGAACCCGAGAATGACTGCGCTTGCGAGGACCAGCAGAAATTATAAACGACAGACCCACCCTCTCGTCAGAGAGAGCGCTTCACATGAATAAACCCCCAAATATCTGACAGTAATAAAAATCTGGTCATAAGCCGCAGATGGGTGCTGGCAGACTGGCCGACTGACCGTCAGTCGTAACAGACTCACACTCACTCCGTTGAGTTCCCGTGTGGAGGCGGGGTGGAATACCTCCACTTGCGAGTCGTAGGCTGATTCAGTTCAGTCAAGATTCTTCAGCTCATTCGTCAGACAGAAGTCGTAATTCATCCTTAAGGGAATTAAGCAGTTCAATGTATGAGCTGTTATAATTAAACGCAATTGTAAAGATGTGCCAATAAACCAAATCATCAAATTTGGAACCCATTATTATTCGTCACGCAACCCCTTATACGTGACAGTGCAATTATAGAACCTTCTGATTTGCTAAAACCTTTGTAAGATACCAGAGTTGTTAACGGAACAGCGGTCTACATTTGTAGGTCCCTGTTCATGCTTTAATTTCTTTCTGCAGGAAGTAAAACCATGGGATTTCATTCTGATGTTGGGTTTAGTTTTGGTGGTAAACTTTAACCAGTTCTTTGTGAAATGGTAGACATGACATGGATTTGAAGTTTGTCAGAATCTAATTTCTGTTTTCTAATGGCTTCCTTAACGCATACAACGGCAGATAATTGTAATAAATGTAGGAATATATTCGTAAGCAGCTGGACAAGTAGGTTTGTGTACTAGACAGAACAGTGTCAGTCTTACAGGTGACGTAAATTGGCTAACGTAAATATTGTCACGGGCTGCCTGTGTGGTCTAGGGGTCAGCGTTCCCGGCTACAGATCTAGAGGTCCCGTGTTCGATTCCTGGCGCTACGAGATTTTCTGACAAGTAGTGGGTCTGGAACGGGGTCCACTCAGCCTCTTGAGAATAATTAAGTAACTACTTGAATGGAAAAGTAGCGGCTTCGTTCTAGAAAACCAAGATTAACGGCCGTGGGAATCCGTTGCAGTGACCACGCGATACCCTCTGTCCGTAAAATTTGGCACTAACTCCGCCGACAAGCGGTGGTCGCTTGGTCGGTATAGTTCGCTTGCGGACTACAGGCCACAGAGTTTAAATATATTCATGATGACCTTTTTTTGTAACGTCAGACAGGAGTATCATTTAAATGTCAAATATCGCTGGGTTATTTTGGAAGTAGCTGAATTAGCCTAACCCCATCTAAATCCTCCATAATTCGATTTAGACTAACATGAAAACACGTTGCATCTGCGTCATTGTAATTATTGACCTGAAAGTGGTTATTCTGGGAAACGAACGAAGTCTATGGTGAAATGCGTGCTTAGTAGGCGTCCACCATCCCTGCCCATAAAGGAATAATAATTCAATGCATTACGTCCAACGAAAGCCAGTGAACTGAAACTGTTACTTTGAGATATCTTGATACAGTGTCCATGTCCTTGATTGGAAGGTGTGGCCCGAGCGAACCGAGTCGCTCTCGAGCAATGTGGAGCGCACTACTTCGTTTCCATTTCACAGCGCTCTCCTCGGGAAACGGAATCTTACCCTGCGGAAGGGACGCACATTTCACACTCTTTTTTACGTAAATTTGATATTTGTATTAATTTCCTGTCAATAAGGCTAACTTCATTCCTTATTCAGGATAACTCGCTTATTACATGACTCTGATTACTGACTGAGCCTACGTTTCGATTTTCTAGCTCGTTTAAAGTTTAAAAAAAGTGCGTTGTATAACAGAACTTCCCATTTAAGTATTCGTTCACTGTTTTACATTACGTATCTTCAGATAACGCAAGACATTGAATACGAGGTCTGACAGTAAAGTTCGCGAACTCCCCACCGTCTTCTTGTCATGGCAGCAGTGACAGAAACCTCAGTATGGTTTGATGACGTTGGCATATCAGCGTTTCACATCTGTGTTGTTGTTGATCTATGGCAGCCTCTTTTTGAGTGACGTCTATTATTGCCTGAGTGTGTTTTGGTGTGCCGTCGCGAGATTATTGGAGCTTGAATTAGAGCACTGTTCGTGAGGGAGCTTTTAGCTAGTAAACAAATAACTGTGCTGGGACACCCTCCCTATTCACCGGATCTAGCATTTTAATGATATCGATGACATCAAGAGTAATACGACGGCAGCTCTTAATGCCATTCCACAAAAGCAGTTCCAAAATTGTTTTGAAGGGTGGACTAGGCGCTGGCATCGGTGCATAGTTACCCAAGTGGAGTACTTTGAAGGCGACCACAGTGATATTCAGCAATGAGGTATGTAGCACTTTTACCGCGATGAGTTCGCGAACTTTATTTTCAGTCCACGTATGCCTCTGTTACTGCAGTATGATACTAGAATACATACATACGATACAGTGAACAGTGACGTATGGGAGGTTTAATTTCGGGGTAATCTTGAGAGATAATTTGTCGGGAACAGTTTTGCAGACTAATTATGCTGTTGACGTAAAGAATTATGTCTTTTGTGTCATTGTTATTGTTCTTCCGTCTGTAATGCAACAATGTCAGTATATCAGATTTGAGGCTTTCACGGCGGTGACTATGAAGAAAGCAGTCTTCTGGGATTTGGCACCGTGTATATGTGGTGTTAACNATATAATTAAAATATATATATATGTATACATTCTGTGTTTATGCGCAACGTGTTTCGGTCACGCACAAATGATAGTTCAATACAACAAGATGCTAAAATATAGTATGATGAATTCTGCCTTCTCTTCTGTTATAAGAAAGAACACGTTTCGGCGTCACCCAGTCCAATGCTGTGGGTGAAACCTTCACCCTGTGATTATGAGTCAAGATTATCATTTTATAATTTAGGCCGATGTAATTGCATTTATTACTGAGACGGCCAGATGACTAGCGTCGCTAGTGCGCTCCAAGCCAAGTGCGACAGCATGACAGTGCGGTCACAGTCATGGCCTTCATGCCCAGTCACCACGTTCTTTGGCGAAATATCCAGAATCCATATGATTAGAACTAAACGCATGTAATCTTTATGTGCACAACAGTTGCGATACACGGCCAGAAAATATCTGTTTGCGCTAGGATCTGGCGAGAACGTCTTTATTTAGGGTGTGAGATTTTATTTAATTTCACGGGTACTGAAAGTTCAGGAACTCTTGGTCTCTGCCGGAAGCTGGCAGTGAAATATTGTGGATGCCTGAAGATACGGTGTGTCTAGTCATGGCATCGTATAGGCGTATCAGTACAGTCATCTGCGACTGATAACGACACTCACACTGGCTCTGGTAGCAATACTTAGTTAGCGACATAATAAGTCATGCATTAGTGTGCTATTTAATATTATCATTTGTTACAAAATACTATACGAATTTTACTACTGCTCCCTCTGCTTAAAAGTCAAGGTTAAGCAGAAATACAGATTTCTTAATGCAGGTTTCTGTGCGGACGAAAGTGAGTGTCAGTGCCCACACAGGTCGATTCACTTTTTGTTTTTATCGACGCCCCAGAACACGCTATTTTCCTGCCTGGAATACAACGGCTCACTTACCTGCTCCGAAGCCCTCCAGACCTATTTCCACCCGGAAGAGCTGCTGAGATGTTTTTGCTGAGGTTAGCTAGGCTACCATTTCTGTGTGTCGGCGCGGTGTAGCTAGAATAACTAGTGGGTCCATTACTTGTCCTCACGCTACGGTTTCCTGCGGCAACCGCGTCAACCGCCAGTAGATGAAGCAGGCAGATTATCAACAGAACCAGGAGCGTATTGCTCCACATTGTGATGCTTCTGCAGAACTGCACTCCACTCACGAACACAAGTTCCTTACGTCGACACCACTACAGTAACTGTGTTACTTAAAAACCTAAACGAGCGCAAGTTGTCCTTCCGTTAAGGGCCACGCGACTGTTGTTTACTCAGGGGACGCCCTTATTGTCTGTCACCGTAGACACCTGAACGCCAGTGCGTGTCTATGTTGCCTACTGACCGAGTCTCGTAGCTCGCCAAGCAGACACGGCTCATGGATGGAGTGGCTGGAACTTTCACTTGATGCGGACTGCTAAAGCAGACCTCGCACAGGTTGTTGGGAAGGGATCTGTTGACGTCGACTTCTTTCAGCAGTTCTCGTCTTATTTACCGTGTTCCCTGCATTTGATATTAAATGTAGAAGAAATGAAACAGCCATTAACCTCCAGAATATGCCAAATTAAGCTAAATCTGAGAAATTGATTCATTCTAATGATATGAGTATGAGGGCTGAGCCATAAAAACCGGCCCTCGCACTTCGACCTTCAATGATCTGTTGTCCGTCCACTATGGATTAACCCTTTATTAATCCTACACTCCGAATGAAATGTAGGACTTTATTTATGGGGGCGTCATAAAAGTCACTTGGTTCCATGAAGAATTGACCCAGGTGGTGATATCTTAGGTAAGCTATGCCCTCACAATCACATAAGATGTGTGTGGCTGATTAGTCTTCTTGTAGGCACCTTTCGCAAGTTGGGTCCTCTGTCAGTCGCAGTTTGAAAAGATTCCCTTTTATTCTAATGATAACTAACAAACTCCACAGGGCAGAATTCTTATTAGAAGCTGATAGTCTCCTATACGATGGCTGCCGGGGGCTCTTTCCCCGCGGGTAAAGCGGCCTAGGCTTGAAGTTGACCGCTCACCTCCAACTAGTACTGAGGTCAAGAAAACGTGGGTCTATACATCCACTCCCCCATATGCCTTTGTGTGGCGTAGTGCTTAATTAGTTAAGCACAGGGACAATTTTACTTTTTTTTTTTTTACTTTTACCTCCTAAGTGTTCTTCCTTCCGGCTGTTGGTAAAATGTTTGTATTTTTTGTCCCTTTCATGGATGCTGCATGTACGCCCATCCTGTTCTCATTCACCATTTTTATTGCATAGTATTCGTCTGTAATGCAACAAGTCAATCCTTTCTTAAAAGACACTAAAATATATGTAATTAACTAAAAAGTGTTTTTTTAAATACTTTAAATGTCATTACCTGTGTGCAGTTGATGTCATTGCTGCATGTTTCGGCCACACGTGGGCCATCATCAGGCAACACTTATAATCTGGGAAGACCACTGTATTGTACATTTGTCCTTAGTACCCTTAGGCACATTGTAGTTGTTGCTGTTGTTAATTTGCATCGTAGGGTGTTTTCATCCTATCTTTTTAGCGGTCGCTTCAGTGTTCCTTTTTAGGGTGTCGTTCACTTTAGTTGTATGTGTTTAGTGCTGTTTGTTCCTTATTCTCAACCATTTTGTTCTCCCGATGACGATCGATGATTTCTCTTAGCGATGTGCCTACTGACTACGCGTGAACTTAATGTGATATATTGTAGCTTGTTGCAACTTAAACTGCAGTAAATGTTTTCTGCCATTTAGAGTAATATTCTTTGTGGGCCTTCAAGCTATATTTTGACGACGTTCCTAATGAAATGTCAAAACTATCGTACATGTGCATACGTGAAAACAAAACCAAGGTATGCAAGAAGGAGACAACTATCCTGTAATTGTAACTCGGTGCAGCAAGAACTGATCCTTACTCATTGCTTGCGTTCAGTACAGCCCTAACCTGCGGTGGAAACACGGGTTTGTGGTTTTTATTGGTCCACAGAGGATAGCTTCATATGTGTACCTCACGACTGACACGTAGAATTACTGCAGATGTGTGAAGAATGGTAGCAAATTAACATTTGCATTCTGCCCGTTCCACATTTCCCTCGAAACTGGTGTATGCGTCAACAAAACTGAACGGTGTCACAATCCACAATCCCAGCATATCGAATAACATATGCTATACGTAGTATTACTGTACCACACTATTTACTTGTGATGTTTAAATTCTAGAAATCGCACTTAGCTCGTGTTGTCCCAAGAATATACCCATAAGATCGTGAACAAAAACAAGAGAGTGTAAATAACTTCACGAAACATGGTCCTTCGTGAAAATATTGTATTACCCTAATTCCCTGCCACTTATGGAAGCCGAAGGTTCATTGTGTTTACAGAAATCTCGCTGAAACCTGTCCTGGCCCAAAGAGTTACAGTCACATCTACGCCTCGGTCTCATAACTAATGCCCTTCCTTTATCTAACTAAAATTTTGTATGCATTTTTCACATTCCTATATGTACTGTATTCCGCTTCCATCATATTTTGGCACGTAGACCCGTTGCTAGGCAACGACCGCAAAGTAAGCAGCTGCACAAAGCCGTTGTTAAGTAATTCCTCTGCAAACAACGGCGGTTGCTAGGTAATGGCCGTAACACACGCATGCAACAATAGAAGAGCTGCTAGAAACAGTATTCTCTGTGTAGTCCGTGCCGAGGCAGCATACTGAGAAGACTTCGTACGTGCTGTAGTGAGCTTCAGAATGTGTGAATTACTAATAGTGCTATACTTACTTGTAGTTAGAGTTGTGTGTACAAGTGCAATAAATCCGATTAACAATCCAAACTCCGTCTATAGTCACACTCAATCACGTGGCAATATCTCCCTTGATTTCTTCGTCCTAATACTACGAGGCCGCCTCTGTGGTCTAGTGGTCAGAGTTCCTGGCTACAGATCCAGAGGCCTGGGTCCGATTCACGGCGCTACCAGATTTTTTTCTGAGAAGTAGTGGGTCTCGAACGGGGTCCACTCAGTCTCGCGATTATAATTCAGGAGCTGTTTCAAGAAAATAACGGCTCCGGTCTAGAAAACCGAAATTAACGGCCTTGAGGATTTTACACTGACCACGCGACACCCTCTATCCGCTAAAGTTGACACTAACTTCGTCGACAAGCGGCGGTCGCTCGGCCGGTATAGTTCTCTTGCGGGCTAAAATCAAGGATTTCTTTTTAAATGCTGTATTCTGAAGAACACGTGATGAAACTCCACTTTATCTAATCGCCTGCCAATCACAATGGCCTCCCTGTCTAAGGCATAAACCGTCTTCGTCCGCTTGAACACCGGGAACGTGGGTTCGATTCCACTCGAAGCGTGGATGACTGTGTGCGTTTATTCTGTTTCTGTTGTTCTGTGTGTAGGTAATTCCCTGTTTCTTCCTCTCTGTTGTATCTAAATACTGTTGTGAAAACTTGTTTTCAAAGGCAATCTGTGTTCTTCCGTTGGAGTGAAAGATCAAATTTATAGAGGGACAAAATAAGTAATAAATTACTTCTGAATGTTGTAGTGTTTACATTTTAAGACACAGCCAGAATAGGCTAGTTGACATAATTAGAAATAGTTGGGTGCGTTATGTGACTCTCTCCATGCAGCTGTTATGTTAATGAGCAGAGCAGTAAATATATTTAATGTGGCTGAAATTCTTTTCCTGTAAGCTAGTGGAAATCTCCCGAACTGATATACATTGCTTGTTACTCGCTTTGATCTGGGTTTTCATCCTGTCCCCTTGTTCGCCTTTTAAGAAATTCATATCATTCATAAATCGTTAGTTAAACTTGATCTGGGTTGGGCAGGTTTGGATGGTAGCCGTTTTTATATCTGGGACCGGTAGTGAAATTTTCCCTTGTCATTTGATCTTCATTCATGGCTGGCTGAAATGGTTTACACCTTCACGACTTCTGAATGGTCGGCTCTGTAGAATGAAAGGCTTCTTAGTTCTGGTGGTGGAGATAGAAAACGTCACCTGACGTGGCTTGCTGAGGAAGCGTCAGTACATTACTCGGTCGGCTGAAATGGAGCGCTCACCGAATCATGAAGCGTATACTTGTACAATTAAACGAAACAGTAGAGTCATTGCTGGTATTACGTAAAGGTAGTTCCGTTTTAACTGACAACAAGAATCTATAGGTAGACGGATGATTTCCATTATAATTTCTTCCGTACTGTCACTTAGTATGTGTGACTATAGACGGGGTTTGGATTGGTGAATAGATCTGTTAACCATTTACAGGTCTTAACTACAAATAACTGTAACACTATCGCTATTTCCATATTTTACGGTTCACTAGAGCATATACAGTCTGATGTTCTCAGTCTGTTACTTGACGTTTTCTGGTAACGGCTGCAACAATGGCTATTCCTTTCCTTCCGGCTCAAGTCAGCTCTTCACAGACTCCCTTACAGAACTGACTAAACTGGATATGTTAAAGTCACATTGCGACTGACGATCAGTTAGTAAGACTTGGTGTCGAGCCTCTTGGCAATTACGATATTGTTTCTGTTGGGCGCCCTCTCTGACGAAAGGACGGTTCTGTATTTTTTGTATATTCTGCTGGCTCTTGCCAGCGCAGTATTTCTCGAGTCCGAGTCCCTTGGTACTCGTGACCATATTTTACTGTCTCAGATATGACTTCCCTTTTCGTCGCCTTCTACGACTCGCAGGGTCACGGTGGAGGTATTCGGTCCCGCCTCCAAACGGGTTTAAACTGAATATGATCCAAACCTCCCGGCTCTAACATCTCGATTCGGACAACATGAAAAACATCATTTCCAACAGTTCCCCTATTGTTGCATGCGTATCCGATGCCTCTGGAACGTATTTACCTAGCCGTTCTCTAGCAGCGGCCATTTATTTTTGCTTATTAAAATCTGTTTTCGTTATTTGTTTCGCGGTCGCTGCTTAGAAACGGGTCTATACGCCACAGTACTTAGTTCCCTTAAATAAAAGTAGTCCTATATAGACATTGTTTTTAAAGGAAGAATATTTTTATAAAGATAACGTCTCTGAGATTTTACGCCGTATAGTTTGGTAAGTAGGTACCAATGTTCCGTAAGCACCCGATGTTTTCCCTTCGAAGCATTAATACCCAGCAAACCACACGGTATCACATCACCGTGAGAATTTTATTTCGCAGTTTCTTTTTTGCATGAGCACTAGCACGATTAGAATGAAATGAAATAATATCCTTTTGATGTCTCTTTTCTCTGTTTCCCTTGGTTCGTTACTGCTCTCTGCTCCGTATCACAATAAACTGCCCAGTGTGAAGATGGTGGTCGTCTGTAC